CGACAATCACCCTGGAAACCAGAGAGGTTTCTGCTCCAGTTTCCTTCTATTTACATCCCTTTCTCTTCCTTAAACCAGGAAGGAAAGAAGGAAGCCAGGAAGCCAGGAAGCCGGGAAGGCAAGATGAGTGATGTGGGAAATCTGATTACTTGGGAATAACTTGACTCCCATTAAATGTTGGCACAGATTCTACAGTACTGAATGCTGCCCCCAGAGATCCATGAGAAAAATTTCAGATCAGGTGACTCAGTACTGAGCTCTGGAGCTCACTCTCCCCTGACAGTCCTCAGTCACCTGCAGTCACTGCCTTACTTGTCATACTCCCCAGCAGCAGCTAGAAGGATCAACCTACACAGCGCCAGGATGCCCTGCCCTTGAGACAGGGTCACATGTAACCCAGGATGGCCCTCAAAACTAATTGTACCATCAAGGACAATCTTGAATTTCTGATTCTTCGGCCCCCACCAACAGAGTGCTGGGATTATATGCTTTCACTGTCATGCCTGGATGTAAGCTCTGCAGTGCTGAGGACAGAATGAGAGCTTTGTGCACACTAGGCAAGCCTATGTCAATTGACCTATATCCCCAGCCCAACTTTGGTTTTAAATAGATGTTCCAATATCTGTGCAAATTAGGGTGACCATCTCAGTATCCCTGATACAACTCTCATTCACACCCCTGGCCTCCAGTACCACTGATATCAGCAGCCATGTTCACCTTTAAATTTGCCTTGGTTTAGACAGCACAGTATGTGGTCATGCTTTGTGAGTCCACTGACCTTTATAGCATGCTCCCTGTTTTGGTTCAGAATAATGGAGACATACCTGAGCCCATCTGTCCTTTCCCTCTTTCCCATTCCTCCTGATAAACACCTTTGGTGTGCTCACACACCATGACTCTTGTCTTGCTCCAAAGCACTTACTTCTGCCTCTTAGCTTGCTTGTGTTCTTCGCTCTGTCTGAAAAATTCTTTCCTCACCCCCACTCACATGCAACGAGCATTATTTCCATGTCTGTGAAACAGCCTTTGTCTACATCCAGCCACACGGATGTAACTTCACATGAACTTTGCCTTGATAAAACAGGGTAAAGTGGGAAAGGTCTGTCTTCAGAGATGTGTTCCTTCCTCCCCAAGAACTCTGCTGTAATTTGTTTAGGAGCTAGTGGTGGTACCTGGCTACAATAATGCCAACAGTTCTTCATTCTTCAAAGATGGCACATGAAAGGAAGCATAAATCTAATATATAATCTACATGTGCATGCTTTCTCACAAAAAAAAAAATTTATTCACTTCCAAGGAAGTTGCAAGTAAAGCATCTCCCTTGTCTGAACTCTTGGTGGAAGCAGGCACCCATCACCTTTTTCCAGCATCCTTGAAAGAGAGCTGTCTACATCATGTCCAAACATATCTTTTGAGCCCACTTCTCTGGGTGCCTAAGTACCCCAATGGAATTCTGTGTGACAGAGGTTCTTAGACTTAGGTTTGTGTACCATCTGCACCAGAGTATTTAATATGACTCTTAAAATCACTTGTTTACAAGTCCAACTCCAGACACAGCTGAGTCAGCACTTGGAGCAAGGAGGGAAACAAAAATGCTCACAGGGGGCATGTCATGCCCATTGGAGGGTCATGACCACTGTTAGAGACATGCGGTCTAGATCTAGAGTTCTGCTCCATCTTCCTGATAGATGGGAAGTCACTTTCCTTTAATTCAAAGCAGCTCTTGAAGTAACAGGAGGTCTTTCTCTACACATTCCCTCTTTAATACTCAGTTGTAATCATGCTACTGAAGTTTTCTTTATCAAAACGTTTTATACCCTAAACCAACTTGGTCACTCTCCTCTGGATCTTTCATTGCTTTTCAATGTCTCTCCCAAAACATGGCATTCAAGATGGCCATACATCACACTCTGAACTGGGTGGAGGGCTAGAAGGTACTGAATGCCTTCACCATACACCGCCAGTTATGTGCCGACTATTCATTTACATCCCTACCAAAGGATCATGTGACAAACCATCTCAGCCTAAACCAGCCATCAGGAAGGCTCATCACTTTATAAGCCTCTGCTAATTAATGAGGCCCATGAGGCTGACTCGTTCCTAAGAGCTGTTTTCACTTGAGTGGCTTTGCTTAAATGTCCCATATATAGATTAGCAATGTATTTCCTTTTGTGTATTGTCCATTCCCGTTCTGTTTCTGACTTTAACTCACTTTGGCAGTCCTATGCCAAATGCATCCTGCCTGTGCACTGCATCAAATTCTCATGCAGCATTTCCCCACTTCACAGGGGAAGAGACTCTGCTTAGAAGCGAGGACCTTGCCATGAGGAAACACAGGGGTTTTTTCTACATCCTTATTTATTTGTGACTTGGCTTAAACAACATCTTTTTGGAAGGCAGCTCCTCATCTTGTAGACATTTTTTAAATGGGGTTGAAAGAGCTAAGTCCCTGGGGTAAAACCAAAGATGAAGGTGAAAGGACACAGCATCCTCACAGCTCTACCTGGATCTCCTGCTAACATTCTCCTTATTCGATTTGTGTTTCTCCTGGCCTAGAGGAAACAGTGGCCAAACAACGATGGATAGAAATGCTCACTGTGGACACAGAGTAGGAGGAGTGTGGAGCTGGATATGATGGCACACCTGTAACTGCAACACTAGGACAGTGGAGGCAGGCGGATCTCAGCACCGCTACACAGTCAGTTCAAGGTCAGCCTGCCCTACCTAGTGGCATGCCGGGGAAAGGAGGTGCCTGTATTAATTCATATATTTGTCAGGAGAAGTAACATGCAGCTGTCCCAAAACGACTGCCCAGAAAAGGACCAAGGGGAGCAATTTGGAGAGAGGCAGGACTAAGTAATGAGCCAGTCCACCTGTTGACAGCAGCATCCACGTAGCACACATGCAAGGCAAACAAAGCTAGCCTTCATTTCTTCCATTTCATACTTACTATCTGATATCCCAAGACCAATGTTTATACAATTATCTAAGACCTTAATGTTAATTCATTATTTATAGCATTTTAGTCCAAACAGCTGAGCTTCTCACAGATTTGGTTAATTTAATCAAACTCCACGCAATTATACTTTAATTAAAACTACATATGCATAAAGTTGAAATGCTGATATTTAAATCAATTGAATTCACAACAAGATTAGAAGAAATGCAAACGATTAATTACAGATCCAAATTAGAAACAAAATTAAAGGCAATTTTAATCCTTCTTTTTTCTGTCTAGAAGGTAGTCATGACCCAAAGGTCATGAATCATCAATGTCACACAGTGGATGGAAACACAGAGACTCACTGACTTCAGACACACAGCCTGTTCATCTGGGCCATTCTAGGACCTTTTGCTGTTCCCTATAACCATTAAACAAACTTGACTCTCACCCAAAAAAACAACAGTTTTTTTAAACACTTATCTACCAATGAGGGGATGGAAACTGCTATGGTGATGGAAAGGTCTTGATGTTGAGACTTGGTCATTTTAGCACCCTGACCTCAGGTTAGGTTTAGGTTAGGTTTAGACCTCAGGTTCTTTACTCCTCTATAAGCTCTGACAGAAGTTCAGTGTCTCCCTTGTTACAGAACACATTCAGGTATTATTTGACTGCCCTATATTTTGCTCAAACCATTTTCATGCATTATTAAAAATAATAAAAAACCTGTAAAGCTCTCTAAGTTATGACATCATTTTCTTAAATGGGAAGGGAGCCTTCTCTTCTTTGTTCTTTACTATTCTAAGTTTTCTGCCACTCTATTTTTAGGCTAATTTTTTTAATGTAGGCAAAAATTAAGCCTGCTTTCTCAGCATTAAACTTACAGTCTCTCCATGACTTATTGTATGGTCACTGATCCTTCTTCATGGTTTAGTTTCTTTTTTCAGCATTGGGAATCAAACCTAGGACCTTATGCATGCTCAGCAAGTATTCTACTACTGAGCTACATCTTCCACCCATAATTTTTGGGGATAGCATCCTACCATAATTCAGTGTTTAGTTGTAATTATTACCTTGGCACAATCTAGAACTGAGAAGAGAGTACATCAATAAGGGATTGCCTCGATAAGGCTAGCTGGTGAGCGTGTCTATGGGGGTTGTCTTAATTACCTTAATTGAGGCAGGAAGACCTAGCCCACTGTGGGTGACACCATTCCCTAAGCAGGCAATCCCAGACAATATAAATGTAGAAAGGGGGCTAAGCACAAGTAAGTATGCGTGTGTTCACTCTCTCTCTACTCTCGATTGTGGGTGTGACTAGACATTTCAAGTTCCTGCCTTGACTCCCCTGCAGTGGTGGACTGTGACCTGGAATTGCAAACTTAATAAACCTTTCCCCCTAAAGCATGCTCTGTCACAGTAACAGAAAAATGAGACTATTTAACTATGTAACCCAGACTGTCCTCAAATGTGTCATCCTACACCTTCCTCCTTAGTGTTGTGATTTTTAATAAGCAAAAGCCACTCCAACTCACCCGGATGTTGATTTATCAAACCATTTCTGGAACTGTGTTCTCAAGATCTCAGTGTGGAAACAGGCTAACCTCATCCTCATCCCACATAGCTGTTTCCACCCTCACCACCAGCATCTCCCATCCCATAGCCCTGCAGGTAGATTACCCGCTTCCTCTCGACAAAGCCTCCTGCCACTCCACAGCCTACTGTAAGTGACATTCCCTCATCTACATTCACCCTCTCTCTGACTCCCAATGTATGTAACACACCCACAATCACTATAGTGGTCAGCATCACATGACGTTAATGTGTAGCCTCCCCAGTGAAACCTTAAAGCCATGAAAACTGACAACCTGGAGCCATGTGAACTTGATACACAATCTGTAAACCTTAAAAGCAAGTGGGAAGTTCTATGTCATGAGGATAGAGCCATTCCAAGCCCATCCTGGGATATTTGGGCACAACTTTCCTCTCATCCCCATCATCCACAGACATATAGGCTGTTTCCTGGAAAGACTAAAGGGGCATTGTGGGACATACTCACTGCAAATCGGACTTGGCAGTTCTCCTCCCCCAGGTAGCAGAGGTCGCCCGAGACGTTGGTCTCCAGCCATAGGTGTTCCCCATTAACAGCATTCTCCTGTAAGGAAAAGACCCACCCACTTCAGTTTTCTCTTCAGCATCAAGGGAGGAATTATGCAAGACAATTAGTGACTCCTAGGAGTTTAGACACTCTTCATGGGATCTTCAAAGACACTGCTGGAGTTGATCCTATGGAAATTCTGGAAAGGAAAAATGGTGTGGGAACTTTGATCGATAACTAAGACAGATATAAAGTCTATGAAGGCCTCATCCATGGATGTGTCACCTTGAAACATTCTCAACCGATGAGGAAAAGGCAACACTGAATGGCTCCATATGACGTCTTGTTTATCCGGACCCCAGATGTGATGACACAGGAGACCAAACTTAGATAAAAATTTGCCTCTACTTAGTGAATTAGCTGAGAAGAAGGATGAGAGTATTAAAACACTTTAGGTAAGAATGCCTGGCAATGCATCCACACTCAGCTTGCTTCTCTGGAACTCAAAGCACAAATGCATTTCTACTAATCTAAACATGTTGCTAATTTGGCAAGGCTTCCCACTCAATTCTAAATTTTACAAACTAAATAATTTGTCTGCTTCCTAAGAGTACACACTGTATTTTGATGGTGAGCAGAGCTGCTGTGATGTTTGCTACAATGAGTAACAACCCTGTTCTATCCATAAACGTGCAGTATACAATGGAGAGGAGGACAGCCATCTGGCCTTTAAATATGGCAAATAGAATTCTATGATCTTTCTTTCGATACACCACTTTAAAGGTGTAGGAATTTATGTACTGATTGTATATTCTGCTTATTTACCGAAAGGATGAAATACTGGAGAAAACACTGTGTTACATTAACCATAAAGGAACATAAAACTAAGCCTGCAGAGTTTATAGGAAAAGTCCTGTTGTTTTTATCTTATTCCATGTCAGAAAGACAAGGACTAGCAGTTATCCTTTGATGGAGGATGCTGTGGGCTGAACTATGCCCCTGTCCTCAATTCCTATATTAAAATCTAAATCACAGTGCGATGGCATTAGAACAGGCCTTTGGAAAGTAATCGGGTCATGAAGGTAGAGCCTTCACCATGGAATCAATGCCCTTATAGGAAGTAACTCAAGAAAGCTCTCCCTTTCTATACATGCATGCAACAAGGAAAAGCCACCTGAGTTCACAGCAAGAAAGCAACTACCTGCCAGACAGGAAGAGGGCTCTCACCAGGAACTCCATGCACCAGCATCTTGCCCTTGTACCTTCTTGGCTTGGAAATGATGGGAAATCAATGTCTGTGGCTTAAGCCACCAAGTCTGTGACATTTTGTGGTAACATCCTGATCAGACAACAGAGGATAGCTTCAATAAAGAGCTTTTCAGGCTAATCAAGTCATTTAAAGTCCATCATACATTTGAGCCATGCTTAGGATAACTCATCCCAGAAACATCCACACAACAGCCTTCTCAATGCCAAGGCTTAGTAGAGAGAATCAGAAATATAGACCAAATGTTTCTAGCTGGAAGTGGGGAAGAAAGCACCAATTTTCATGCTATTTTTTTTAAACACTGGATACATTTCTTCAGATTCAAATAGAATACATTTTCTTTTCAGGGTGAATGGTCTCGAATGATTTCAAGCAAGAAAACCCATTGATCTCAGATCCAGATCAGCGGTTCTCAACCTTTCTAACGCTGCGACCCTTTAATACAGTTCCTCATGTTGCAGTGATCCCCAACCATAAAATTATTTTCATTGCTACTTTACAACTGTAATTTTGCTACTGTTAAGAGTAAAAAGTAAATATCTGTGTTTTCCAATGGTCTTAGGTGACCCCTGTGAAAAGGTCATTTGACCCCCAAAGGGGTTGCACCCCACAGGTTGAGAACCACTGCTCTAGATGCTTCAAGATCCAAGGAAAGTGAGGAAGTCTCAAAAGAACAAGAATAAGATGTGAACACGGGAAAAGTGATCAGGTATACAGACGACAAAGGCCTCGAGTGCCTTTTTTTCCTTCTCCCCAGTAATATTCTCCTTTGGTGAACAATGTTCAATTTGTACATAAATAGTCATGGGAAAACAGACCTCTCTTCACCTTCTGGGACACTATCAGAAGGAAGGAAGACTAGACATAGGGCTGGACCCTAAAAATCTTACAAACTGATGACATCATTAGAGAATAAAATACAAAGGCATTTCTTTACAAGGTAGCCTGAAGAAATTGTGCTCACCATCTAAACCACTACAGAGGGGTTACCTACCATCCAACTTGAACTTCTAACCAATTATACAAAAGCCAGCCCTTTTCATTTTATCGTTTGACTCATTCAGCAAACATTTGTTCTTCAGTGCTGGCACCAGTCCTAGGGATGCTGTGATATCTCACAGTGGTAAACTGACTAGCAAAGTTGGAAACTAAACATGACATAATAACAAGAAATCCTAAGGGGAGGACTTCAGAGGAAATCTTGCCAATATTTTAAGTGGTCCAGTAGAAAACTGTTACAGTGGAGCAAATGTCAAGAACCTTTGACAGTAACAAGCTAGGTGTGCCAACAGTGAGGTCCTAAGAGGGCAGGTAAGGCAGGCAGGAGCAGGTTAAGAACCTGGGAGTCAGACTGTTGCAAGCACCACATACCTGACTTATGGGCCAATAGCGCCTAGGCCTCAGACTCCTTTGTTAAATGGTACACCATTTGCAAGCTTTCAGAGGCCTGCAGGTCAACCTTGCCTTGGAGTCATCCACAGAAGACCACTACTTTTAGTTAGCCTCAGTTTTTGATGGGAACTTGATTTAAAAGAGATGGACCTTTGGAAGGTAAAAGCAGGAGGCTTTACTGCATCCTGTCGGCATCTAATGGGCTGGTTCTCCATTTGAGCTATGTACTCAATAACCTGGTAAATTTTTAAAATATGTGAGTATGATTCCAGAGAGTCTGTGTCAGTGAATCTCAATGAAACTTGTGTACAGTAATTGTTCAAAGGTCCCAAGGTGGTTCCAATGTGCTTTGGAGTCTATGACCCAATAGACCACACCCTCCTCTTCAAGTGTTTTAGATAATAGATTTTAGAGCGTGTCTATAAGCCAAAGTACTATATTGTGTTCTTCTCTGTTTTGTACCATCACTAACAAAGATAAGTGTAAGAAAGACATGTCATGAAGCGTCTCCATCAATTTTAAGAAAAGACACAAAGCTATAAGCATATACCCATAGACCTGGAGTTCACCATGAAAAGCCAGGTGATAGGGAAGGAGAGCAACATGTATAGACATCTAAAGAAAACACAGAGTAAAACATTCATTCCCTAAATTACTATGCTTACTTTGAGAAGTAGCTCCTAAAGAAATAGTTCTAACGGAAGGAAAAGGTAAGTATACACCTGACTAAGTTAATCTAAAATTCCTTAATGGGGGAAAAATGGTCACAAGAAGTACAACACAATAGAACATTGTAAAATCAAGGAGTACAAATGTAGAGATTGGTCATATAGAGAACTTCATGATATAGAGTCACAGAAATAAAAAATAAATTCAGAACTGACTTGCATCATGGTCATAGATACACAGAAAAACAAGAGCTGAAAATAACGAAGTACATCGATAGTTGAGTTCTTGACACACATCTGTTTCCATTCTTCTCCGCCAGGGAAAGCTCAACAGAGAATTCTTGTATTTTGTCACTTCCTTTGCACACCATTATAATTTCTTGAGCCCATTCCAGGTGTTCTTCTTTCACATGACAATACTATTTTCCAGATCACCAGATCATGGCTGAACCCAATGGCCAATGATCAAGCTCCACACTCATCAGCAGCTTCAACACTGATGATCGCTGTCTTCATCCAGAGCTACTTTCTTCTCCTCTGCTGTTTACTTTTCCTAGTCTCTGCTGTTGGATCATCCTTATGCCCAAATTTTCAACACTAAAGTGTTCTGCACCCCAACACTCTGATCTATACATCTTCTGTCTACATTCAGTCCTTAGATTACTGCGCAGAGTTTTCTTGGCTTTAGCACTCATTGAGTAGTTGTTACCTTCCAAATTATTTATTCAGGATGACCCTCTTTGAGCTTCACTCATAAACAATTGCCCACAGCATCTCTCCAGAAGACCTAATAAGCATCTTAAATCCTTACATCTGCAAGAACCGAATTTCCTCCACTGATAGGTTCTTCCTTGTCTTCTCTCTGGATTTTCAGTAAATGGCATTAATGTTCTCTCTACTTAGGCTAAAACTCTGGAGTCCTTTTATAGCTCTCTCTTATTTACAACTAATCTCATTTCATTGTGAGTTTAAAATGCAGCTGAGGTCCAGCTACCACTCACCACTTCTACTGTTACCACCAGCTCTGGCTTAGAATATCTCAACAGCCAACCACAAGTGATATCCCTACTTTCGACTCCACCCCTCATGGTCTACTTTTCAAAATGCAACATCGGCGGTAGTTGGGGTGAAAGCCTGAGACTTTCTCCTGCCCTGTTGCTACCTGTGGTAGCCTAGGGAACCCTATTTGGACACCTTTACTGAGGTGAAGTGGAGGTTTGCTGCAGTAAAGAATTTTAGGGTACACCAATATGAAGCAGAGCTGGAGTGCAGTAAGAGGCTTTTGACAGATTTCAGCACAGAGGTGAACAGAGTAACACTCAGGGGGAAGATAAAACACACCCAAGTGTAGACAGGCTTATAGGGAGATGCTGGAGTATCAGTATCTGAGCAAGAGCCATAAATATGATTTGACTGGTTTAATTTGGTTTTGGTTTTTTGAGACAGGATCTCGTGTAGCCCAGGTTGTCCTTAAACTTGCTACACAGCCCAAGATGAGCTTCAACCCTTTATCCACCTGCCTCAATCTCCCAGGTGCTGGGATTACAGGCACGAGCCACCAGGCCTTGTGTAGACACATGGTTTTGGTGGCTCTCAACTTAATCTCAAATAGTTGCTAAGGAATTTGATTCTTCCCTTTTCCCCCTTTGCAATAAATGACATGACAGGGTGAGTCCAGCGGTGCCTTGGATAGGACTGCAATTTAATGAGGCAAACCATGGGTCAATCAC